GCCCCCTCCCCCCTCTCCCCGGCGTTCCCAGCAGCCCGGGGTTTCAGATGTCCCACCGCCGTTTGACCCCCTCCCCCTGCCTCTCCACCCTGCAAATGAGGTCTGACCGGCAGAGGCAGAGCCCACCTCTGGCTGCGAGTCACTGACACTTGGACTCCGGGCTTCAACCTGNGGGGGCCCGGGGCATCGCACACACGCGAGTTCTTCCCGCTGTTCCGTCCATCACAGGCGCAGAGGTCAAGCCCGCAAGTTCAGCTTGACGCAGGAGTGTAGACTGGACCGTACGAAATTGCCAGTTTTGGGGGTGGACAACCACAAAACATTGGCAATTTCATATTTTCGACCTGATGCAAATGTCCAGCTGCTTTATGGAATATAAATATTTTATACCGATGCATCTTTGGGCACGCCTTCCAGGCAAGCTTTCCGTGGGTTAACGTGTTTCCTAAAGAAGCGGTCCTGGGGGGCTGCCTCTGAATCGGAGTGCAGCACAGGACCGCCGGGGTTCTCCCCCAGGTTCCTAACCCAGGGCTCGGTTCTGCCTCCCCCTGGGCTTCACGCGGGTTCTGCGAGGACCCGGGAGGCGTGGGTGGCGGTGTGAGACACGCAGAGGGGCCGGCGCTGCAGCTGGGCCGTGAACCAGGGCCCTTGGTGTGAAGAGAGAGAGGAGAAAACGCCCCTCGACGGCAAAGCGCCCGGGAAACTGCGTGGAGAAGGGGGCGGCGGGGCGCGGGCCAGAGCGCGCGGCGCAGCCTCCGCGAGGCGCGTGGCTCTGAAGTGGCCCCGGGTTCCGCGCGCGGCTCCCGTTAGCAATTACGGCTCCGCCACTGGGCCCCCGGGTCCGGCTGCGCCCGGGGAGGAGGCCTTTCAGGGTGACGATAAATCTCCCCGAGCTTAAAAGGCGGAGAGGGCCAAAGTGTGAAGGCTTTGCTTCGGCAGCGGGAGGGAGGCACCGTGATTCATTAGCGCGCGGACCGCCTCGGAGGCCGGGGAGGGAGGCAGGGCGCGCGCCCCGACGCCCCTTCCCCGCCGCCTACAGGCCGCCGGCCCGGCTGGTCCTCGGCATCTCCGGCTCCGGCTCCCGGCCCTCCCCTCCTTCTGGGAGCCGGCGGGGGAGGGGAGAGGCAGCCCAGCACCAGGCTCCAGGTGGCTCGCAAGTACTTCGCTGCCAAAAGGAGGGGGAAAAAAATCCTACGCAGGAAAACAAGTGAGAAAGGGGCTCCCCGGAGGGGATTGGTTCGGGCTGGAAGGCAGCGCAATTGGGAAAGCCCGGCGCGGGCTCGCGGCGCGCACAGGGGCGCCTTGGCCGCGAGGAGCGG